TATTTCCTGTCCAATCCATTCCTCCTTTACTGGAATTGCTAAAATGTTCTGCATTCGGAAGGACTTTATGGGTTAGACTTGTCCTGAGGATGCTTTGAGTTACACCAGGGAGTTCAGAAATCACCGAAGCGTGAAGGTGGCAACTGTATTCCTGGTTTTCACCCCACTTCAGTTCTTGTGATACATGTATCTTGGTAAGTGTGAGATCAAGATTCTTATAATAATAATTTATACACGTGCAGTGAGTGTGACATACTAGTAACATCACCTTACACAGATGGAAATAAGTCCGTAAGGTGCTGTGGATCCTTTTAGCTCTAACTTATAGAGACTAAATTAGCCATTAGCAAAGCCTTTATCTGGTTCTACTCGTGCTCAAGTTTGACAAATTTCCACGGTCAAATTTTTCCCACATTAGTTCATCTGTAAGTGTGTTCAGGCATGACTTATATTGTAAAACAAATGTAACCTTTACTCAGTGGCACTGTTAGTTGTTAATTCCCTAAAAGCTTTTTCTAGTAAATATATACAGTTAAGGATGATTAACAAACATCATCATAAGTAAAAGTGAATTTTTAATTTTGATATATGGGTGGAGGAGCCCATAAGTGATAGTAAATATAAGATAAAATTGGGAAGTGCTTAGAGGACTAAAGCATTACATGAACTAGAAAAATAAACACAGTGTGTGTGATCCCACTGATGTCTATATTACAAATATTTCTAGAACGTTTATTTCATCTACTTACACTTTCTGATCTTGATGCAACAGCAGAGCAGGAACATTACTCAGCTGGATGACTAATATTGCAAATTGTTTATTTTTGTCATCATACCTAAATTAATTGTAAAAATATGAATAATCACATTTGTAATGATAAGACTGCCTTTAACACAATGAAATAACTGTTGTGCTTTTCAGACACATTCAGATTTTCAAGCTTAAACAATTGCTGCACTCAGATATTAAAATGTGACATGAGACGACTACCCATGGGAGTGTGAAAATTATTGTTTCTAATAGCTTGTTACATATAATTTAGTCAATTGTATTTTAGTAGCGCATAACATTTTTGCAACTAGTGCACATATAAAGGGACCAAAACATTCAGATGAGGTAGATAACAGATTTAAACCATAATGTTGAATTGGTTTTACCATGTCGTACTGGAATTTAGCAATAATATTCCTATCAGGATTTTACAGAGACCTTAATATAGAACTAATTTTTTAAGGTAAAAACAGCATCAGAAGACATAAATAACACTTTATCAGTGAATGAGACATTCTGAAGCTGAACTTACAGTTCTGGATATCAGTAGCTAAACAAAATCAAATAGTCTTATGCTAGCTATTTTCTTCATAGCTGTTTCTGAGGAGCTCACAAGGCACTTAAATCAACCCTCCGCTATGCCCACCGTGCTTGACAACATTTATTGCTACTGTTGACATTCAGATGGGGTGGCCAGCTTTGCCCACTTTGTGTTATTAGTTATACTGTTAGTTGGCCCAAAAGGGAAGTAAGCTGTTTGAGAGATCAAATCCTTATTCATTTCTAATCCAGGAATAAAACCAGAAGACAAAGGGTCTCAATTCTCTCACTGATGATTTACACCAGCATGCAGCACTATTTCTACTGCATTAATGAGAGGAGAATCAGACCCTAAGTGTCCAGTTCATAAGGCTGCACAGAGATTAATCAAGGAAATATGAAAGCAGGTACAAGAGGGAGAGGGAGAGGGAGAAAAGACCCTCAAGGATAGCCACCCAGCTTACTTCATAGCAATTTGCACTTTGGCAGTCCCAGCTGCTTCCATATCATCACTGTCAAACACCATCGTTTCTGAAACACATGCCCTGAAAGGAATCAAGGACAATTAAGGGCCTGCTGGAGCTTCAGGAAGATGTAGGCAATTCTGGTGCCACATGTTTTTCTCCCCACCACACAAAATTTGGAGGGGAATGGGCATATTGGTTTGTTAAAAGCGGTTAGCATTTTTTAACTTTAAAAAATCCTGCTAAGAAAAGTAAAGCACAATAAACACCTTCCAGTGAATGTACCACAGCTACATACTAGCAAGCAAGTCACATGCCCCCACCCTGGCACTGCCAACAGACATGCAATAGACAGGGAACCATAAATCAGGGAGTAAAAGCTACCTCACAAATTCCTCCATGCCAACTGGGGAGCTCTATAGCACTTGTTGGGGCCAGCTAATGGGGAATGGCTGCGTGTGAGAGACTTTTTCAAAAGGGGGTATGTATTGGAGCACTTTAGATGGTTAATACAGCTAATTTCTCAAAAGCAACAGAAAGTTAGATAATAAATGCTATACTGGTGTCTCTAATGCAAGGCAGGAAAAACAGTCCAATAAAAAAAAAAAAAAAAAAAAAAAA